GAAGTCACTGAAATAGTGAACGTTGTGATAGGACGTGAATACGCATGCGTCAATTTCATTTGCCTCCATGTGGTGTCGTATCATGTGCAGACGGCGCTGCATTTCCTGGGACGAGAAAGTCGGTTTCACCTGTAATTGGACAACAACGGTGATGAATTGTTTAGTCAAGATTGCCAGCTTGTCCCAGGCGCGCAGAATTTGAGACAAGTGTGGGAGAGACGTTGAAAGCGAACAAAAAGAAAACAGACGTGGAAGTAAAATTCAATCCGCTGTACAAACAGTTTCAGTCTTTTTGCCTGCTGCTGGCTGGAACAGGTTGAGGGGTACGGTAGTGAAAAAGGCGACAAATGCAGACGATTGTAACTAAGACGCTATGACAGTATAACGTGGTTATTGTAACTATTCAGTCCTGAATAATGTCACTGTTTCTCGTTCATTTTGGCACACCTAATTGAAGAAACATTATCATGAAAAAGGTATAACCCATAAACGATACCACACAGTGGTTTTCTTGGAAACTTGCGAAGTAATATATACTATTGTGCCTCCTTAAGGACTGTGTACGTGCGTTAAAACGGATATTGTGGCACTATTAAACTACTGGAAGGCTGGGCAGTTTCCAAGTTTTTCTAAATCACAACTCCGTGCAGTTGACCTGGATCATTAAACGCCAAGAGGAAACAATATATCTTGAATATTCATGCACGCTTTTTCATTCTCCCCATAACTCCATAAAGTCGTGTCAATTATTGTTTATACTTTTTTCGGGCAATGTTTTTGCAATCAGGTGTGTACAGTATATATTCGGCATGGATCGTTCCATATTTGCTCGGTACACGATTTAAGGCTGATAAGGCCGAAAGTAATAAGAATCGTTACTTTCAGTGCTTTATGGTAGTTCCTTAACTACCTTTTCGCCATTCTGACATTCCATTGTACGTATTTGTTTGTGATCACTAAGTGCCACTGCCGAGAAACATCGCTGGAGGACTGGTACCCAGGTATGTCGAGAGCTGCGCACGTTCTTGGCTAAATGAAGCATCTAAAAAGTAAAAGGATACAAATAAGAAAACGATTAAAAAAAGACAGAAAAACTGAACGAGTCTTCTCCTTGGCATCCTTTACTTGGGTAACAGTTGAAATTTTGCCACTGGTTACCATTTTTAGAATTTCAGTTACTCGTTATCGACTCCCTGGGCTTTCTCAAAGTCCTTCGCAGTTATAGCTAATAATAAAAATATATTTTTTTGTCTATTTTCATCGTACTCTGTCAATTCGGTTTTGTTGTTACTGCCACCTTAGTCTCCTCCACAGCCGTTTTTTGGGATGTCACGCAACGCTCCCCCCAAAGAAACGGCTGCTCACATCC